TGAAAAAAAGAAGGTAGAAACATAAAGCATTTGCTTCAATTTGCAAGTGGTTTTGTTAAATGTTCGATAGCATGTGTTAGAAAATAATCGTAATAGTTAGTGTTGACAAATAGACAGTTATATTTGTCATTCAATTAGTGATGCAAGAATCACAAGGCTAATCAAGATTCAAGCCGATCAAATGAGACTCAAAGTGTCCGAACCAGAACCAGAACCGGAACCAAATTTTATATTTTCAGAGCCGTTTTCGAACAATTTGAAGTCGACACTAGATCGATTCCATATCCAACATCGACGCAAATCAAAGAGGTCGGAAATGTTTGTATACTACCTCAAGAATACATAAAGAAAATTTTGTTTTTTTTTCTTTTAGTAACTTAACAATTTGGTGAAGGCATAATATGAAAGATTCATTCGACATTCTTCTATCGATTCGTAGCCTTTCGGAACGAGCCGCAAACAAACAAAGTACTTTTTTACCTACAAAAAAATCTCCTATTAACCTAGTAACATGACAAGTGGATTTTCTTACAGTTTTTGGAATGAGCACCAAGAATATTAATAGGTGATCAATAATCAGCGAATCTTGATTTATCTATCTTTGATGCTGATTATTTTCAACTAATCTTCTTACACAAATGATAGTGAAAGAAATCAATTTACCTGAAATTAACTTTGGAGGGTCAAAATAGTGAAAGAAATCAATTTACCTGAAATTAAGATGGGCCCGACGACAATGGCGGCCGGAGGTTAGAAATGTGAGGGAGGAGGCATGAACGGCGGCGGAGGGACGGCGGAGGGTTCCGATTGAGTGAAACGCGGGTGCACGAGTAGGCAGAGAGGCCATACTGTTTGCTGTTTTACACTAAGAGTGAAAGTACAGATTCAGGTGTGTATTCATTCAATTCAACCATGAACCAACGAACCCCACACACACTCGAGGTACTGAGTTTATGGGCATATTTGTAATTTCACCACCATAATACTATTTTATTAAATTAAAATGATAAAAATTGTGTGGCTGTTTTTTTGGGGTGTGACATTTAATAACATGAAAATTTCTAGGATGTTTGTAAATTAGGCTATGAAATGTTTAGCTATTTAGATTTTTCATGCCCTTTTAGAATATTTAAGTTCGTGTTTGTTTTTTTCTAAAATTAAAAAAACCAAGAGCTCCCAACTTATCGTAATTATCGCATCACCTGAATTTCGAAATTATCGTAAAGATTATGCTTTGAAAATATCGTAAGGATTATACTAATACCAGAATTTATAGACCATACCAGAATTTATATACCAACTGATATATTAATGCGAACAACAGAAATCTGTGAAAATTCGGTGTCGAGCTTATTCAGTCTTGCGATTGAGCAGTACCACTTCCGTTCTTGAAATCGGAGATTCTGGTTTCGATCGGAGATTCTGATTTTGATCTTAATTTTGTGGGTGCAGCAAGGCCATTTTTTAAGAAAAATACAACTCACAAAATGGAGCTTAGGGACAAGTTTGTTGACTAAGCGTATTTTCAACAGATGATAAGTTTTTACGTCTAATAAGTTGTTTTAAGAATTGAATGAATATCTTATTTTCCAAATTCAAAGTCCACCAAACTCAGATCGAAACAAAATATATTGGCTGATACGCAGTACACAGAATAAGTTGCAAAAGAGCAATTACAGCAAATTGATATACTTCGAAAAGAAAACGTTTAGGGGTGTGGACCTGCGTAATAGGTCCAACAATATAGTTAAGCACAATTTGCTGCACGCTAAATTACACGCAAAATTTGGGGATAAAGGTGAAAATAATTATTCAAATCAAACTCGCCAAGGTAGAAAACTCAAATTGATGTACCCCAGTTTCCCCGAAAAATAAAATCTTTTTTTTTCTCGGGCGAGTATTATTAACGAAATCGTTACACCGACCTATATATATATTTGCGGAAGTTCAAGTTCAAGCTGATTTCTTGACGTAATTTTCGAGCCATTCCACTGTAACACTTTTTGGCCTCTCAAGTGCCAAACCAAGAGCTCGATCCCAAATAAGCTAAACCAACAAAAAGCGAGATGAGAAAAGCTCAGGTTAAATTATACAAATGGAAACTATAAATGTTAGTAGTAAGAAAAAAAAAAAAAAAAAAAAAAAAACTGATTAAGGAAGAGAACCTGAGAGCAAATGCCGATGGACCTCGACACACCAAAGAGAACTGTGTAGAATCTGTCACAAAATTGACACTTTAGATTTTTCTTCTTTTTACCCTTTCGGTATTGCTATTCTACTATTAGAAATATGATAAATTACAGAAAAAAAAAAATCCAACTACATTTGTTACAAACATTACACCCCTCGTTATTTATTTCAATTTTGCAAATTGAAATACATCGAGGAGGTGTTAGTAAATTGGAAAATTTATTTTAGTAATTTTTGTAATTTATTTTCTTAGAAATAGTACAAACGTTGTACCTTGCTTCAGTTAAGCCATAATAATTGAGCAACACTCCGCTGTGGGCATCTACATTGGGCCACGGGTTTTTAACCTACAAAAATAATCCAAATGCAATATAATCAGGAAAAAGAAAAAGAAAAAACGGAAGTTTCGCTAACTTTCTAACGAATCGCTAGAAGTACATGCAAATATTCAAACTCATTCGAAGGTATATGCAGTATACCTGTTCTATATATCACATGTAAGATCATAAGGTATCAGATCTAAGACCTAGTTTATTCAATTTATATCCCCCTTTCTTCGTTCGTAATCAAGTTGAGTTTGAATTGATACGTTCCGCAAACATACTAAGAAAGACTTCACAAATAATATAAATAATCATCACTTACCTTGCCCAGTTCCAACAGAATAGGAGGCACTACTTCATAAAGATTGGAAACCTGCATAGAAAATACAAAAAGGGGAAAAAAAATAAAAAAACACAATTTAATGAATAACTATATCAGTTATGAAGGCTGATGGTGTAACCATTTTAAATAGTGGGTCGTTAGGCAAGTGCTTCAGTGCAAATTCTCTCTGGCACGTGTATCTTGGATCTGTATTTCGCAGTACACCGTGTCCATATCCAGGAACAACCTGCGGTATCAAAGTGAGCACAAATTCAGTTTCAATGCTTATATTGATATGCCCAATCTAATTTTTAATCAAATTCATTGAGCTACTCAATTAACCACCAATGCCTACGGACTAGAATTTAGAGAGGTCAAGAATCTGCAGAGTTTATCATTTAAGTATCGATTGTTAAGCATGTAGCAAAATCAAGACACACACGCAGTGAGTTTGTAAGCTCCAAAATAGCATTATACTACCTTGCCACTGTTCAATGTTTTCCACACATATTCTTTCAAATGTTCTTTGCTGACATTCTCCCCACAATCTGCTACCACAGACTTGATCCACAGTAAGACTTCCTGTAATAAAACCAAAAATGAATCCAAGGTGTAAGGAAAGGATATTGTTTGCAATGAAAAATCATTGATGTAATAGCACTTCTAATTTGGAGAAAAAAAAAACAGCAACAGAAATCTGCATCAATTGGGTTAAAAACGATGAAGTAATTTAGATGAATATATGTCAGCCATTATTCAACTAAGTGGATATATATGCCAAAAATAAAAAGTAGAATCGACAACATAATAAGCAAATCGCCCTAAATAGAAATTTATGACTCTTGCAGATCGATAGCACAAAAGGTCATCATTATTCTATGTAGTCATAAAGAAGCATCAAACACACATCACAAATAGTACAACTCACTGTTAAAAAAAAAACAATAGCACAAATTCCTAAAAGACAGCTAAAAAACTACATGTATGCTATTAAAAAAACTTCTTTTACTAAAGTATCAAGTAGACTATCACTTTTATATGCTTCTATGAGCAAAAATAAAATGATCATATAGTAAGAACTGAGAACAAGTTGAATATGGCAATAGCACAGGCAAATTCAAAACAGTTTTGACGGAAAAGATATTTACTAGATAAATTTGGTAGAAGAGTTTATTCTAAAAGGGGTGGTTGTATCAGCATCAATAATGACAAGTAACAGACACATGTGCAGGCTAAACGTCTAAACCAAAGAAAAAACATCATCAAAGGATATAAACCCAAGAAGTCAAAATTAGTACCTGATTGGCCAGGCCGTGGAGTGGACCGGCTAAACCATTTAACGCAGCAGCAAACGAGAGATAGGGATCCGACAGCGCACTGGCAACCTGGGAATTTAAGAATTTAATGATACATGAGAATTTGAATTGTCCAGAATGTCAGAAAAGACTAACTTTAAAGAGCCCATGTAGGCAGATTGGAATAGATGCAAGCAGCAGCATATAATAGATACTCTAGGTCTTACACGAAGAGCCTTAAAAATGTAACATCACTTACTAGATGACCAGTATGGGCACTAACGTTCCCGCCTTCGTGATCACTGTTAACAAATAGTAATTTTTTTTTTTGAATAGGTCAGCTGATTCAGGATTTTAATTGAAACAAAATGCAACATCTTAACTGCATAGTTGTAATTCGTAGTGCATAGTTGCTTAAACTAACCTGTGGATGGTAACATAGAGCCTCATAAGTTCCAGCATACCAGGATCATTAAATCCTAACATGTGAGCAAAGTTTGCACCATAATCTAGGGAGTCATCCATTGGTATAAACTTGTCCGTTCTTGTATATCCTTCACAATTTCAAAGAAATGTTGTTTGAAAATAATAAATACATAAAAATAAACAATATAGTAGCCATTTGCCCATTAGTGTTTACAGTTAAAAAAATGAAGATAAAAAATGAAATGATATTTGACATGCAAACAATGACTAGTCCTCCTCAAGTAACATGAAGAAAAAATCTAGTAACCAACCTGCGATACACATAAGAAGCTACAATCGGAAGCTGCGCAATCAAATTGAGGGAGTCCTCGTATGTTGGTTCCCAGTACCTGAAAAGAAAGACCATAATCATAAGCATCTGCATTAGGAAATTATATATCCCTGAACTTCTTATTAAAACTCACTTAGATTTGTGGATCCCTTTCTCATAAGCCTTCTGGAATTCACTTTGAACCTTGAGAAGACACAACAGTGTGATTTCAGCAGACAATAATGGGACACTCTCCACATTTTGTTACTCAGAAGAAATGAGGAAATATGGAAAAAAAAAACAGTTATACACAATTGAACCAACTTCTTCACGAAAAACTAGTTATACACAATTACAACAATATATGCTCAAGTAATATGGTTAATCTCATAATAAAGTTAAAAAGCAAGGAGCCAAGCTGTCTCGGTTTTCACATTAAAAGCATTTGTTATTATCAAAGGACCGCAGAAAAGCTTTCCACTTGAGAAACACAACAATTAATAAACCATTTTATTGAAATAAAAAAGGACCATTTCATTCTGGATCAATAAGAAACA